GGTTTTGTGTTTTTTTTTTGCGGCTGTCTTAGTCACGCAAGGCACAATGCGGGGGCTGACAACATCGCGTGCGAGTGCAAAGGGCCCGCACTGGATGAGTGCCAGGTGGCGCGCGCCAAAACCCGGCGTGGACCTGACAACCGCGCACCGAGCTCAGAGTGGAATGGACCGGTCTTCATTCAACCTCTCGCCTTCTTTGCACAATGGATAAGATTCACACGCCTTGGCAAAAAAAAAACAGTTGTCGAAGCGAGAACATTTGTAATGATTTCTAATATTGATTTAGTAAAAAAAAAAAGATATGTGCCATTTGAATTGCGGAAGTCGCCGGGTCGATTCGATCTCCCCGGGGCGGCAATCGAAACAATATTCCATAGTGGACATCTGTGAAAAAGAGCTTTACAGCTCATCGGATTTCTCCAGGAAAAATTACAGATTCTGCTGGTCAATATATTTGTTGTTGTTGTTATTGTTGTTGTTGTCGTTGTTGTATTCCTCGCCTGCTGACCCAGCAGCTCATGTCGGTAGCGTACACCACAGTTAGTCCATCGGCATTTATCGTGATGTGGGGGGGGGGGGCTAAAGCGTGGGTAACTTTCACCTATTTCAACACGTCTGCCGAGCGTGGAGGAAGGAGTCGGTCAAATCGCCTGCCGAGAAAGTCACGAGGAAGATCTCCAACTCGAGTGGGGCCCTTCTGCCAGCGGTAGCGTGAGCAAAAAATTGTGGGATTTCACCTTTTCCACTTTTACAATCAGAAGGCGAGCTGGGTTGTAATGAAGACCTGGGACGCGAAAGGAAATGCGCATGTGTATCGTCATCATCATCAGGAGCAGCTGTATATATATAGGGTGCTATATAAACATAATAATGATGATATGATGAATGATGGTCGTAAGAGATTCAATAATCATCACTACAGCAATTGTTTCTTGCTGTGGTTGTCACACCTGATGACGGACGCTTGTGTTGCGCCCGAAACGTCGTGGTTTAATTTATTTTATTTTATACCTACGTGACTTTACCGAAAGAACCAAAGAGTATGACAGTGATTATTACGATGGTGTAATGATGAGGGTGCCACAATGGTGAGATGTTAACTACCTCGCCTGGTATACAGGAGTTCGTGGGTGTAATCCCGACCCTGACGCCTGTATATTTGGAGTTTGCTTGTTCTCTCTCCCCGTGTTCACGTGGATTTTTCTTCTGGTCCTCCGGTGTTGGCCTCCACATTTAGAAACATCTGTTCAGAGTCTGTGGCTGATAGAAAAAAAAAATGTCCACGTGATAAGCCACTGGGGTGAGCTATCATTTGTGGCCAAGTCGCTTCTGAAAAAGAGCGTTTGCATCTCAGTGGGCCTTACCTGGTATAACAAAATCGAATATTTTTATCGTAATAATATTAAATGAAGATGTTGACAGAGACGTCAACGACAAACTTGGTGATGATATATTTATATTGAATGGTGGTATTGATTTTGAAAATGTTGATGATTCGATTATTGAACGGACAGTGATCATGGCTATGATCGTGGTGACAATGATGGTCATCATTTATTGTGTTTTTGAGTCAGCTGGCCAGGATTGAGGAAGGACGTGGTCCACTTTTCACGCAGGCAACCCGGAGAGCACAGACTTAGATACACGATATAATTACGCACTTCGACTACGGATTCCAGTGAGATAGTTTATTTGCAAGGACATGTATGTTGCTACACACACGCGGTACGTACTCTCCAAACACTTTCATGTTGAGAATAAATGCCACATTTTCTTAGTTCTTTCGGTAAAGTCACGTAGAAGGGACATAATAAAATAATACAAATATAACATAATAAATAATTCTCACGACGTTTCGGGCACAACGCAAGCAGCCGTCCTCAGGTGAAGAACAGTGTCTGTCGGAAAGACAGCGTCTTGCTTTGTGGCCGAAACGTCGTGAGAATTATTTTATTATGTTTTATTTTTATTATTTTATTATTTCCCTTCTACGTGACTTTACCGAAATAACCAAGAAGATGAATCCCTGCAGTCACGAAAGCTTTAAATTGAAATGTCACATTGTTACAACGTAAAAGTGAATGTGTAAACGTGTAAAGTTTTGGTGGAATCGTAACCCGCGCCCTTATTTTCATTATTTTTATTTCACATATTCAGCTATGACGGGGGGCGCACTAAGCATCACGTGTTTGTCCCCCATGTTTTCCGTGAATTTAATATGTTATACATGACGGTACTGTCCAGAAAAAAAAGTCTCACCGAGTCTAGAGTCTATTGATCATACAATGGGGATGTTTGGCCAATTCGTTTTGAGAGAAATAACAAAAAAACGGGGAAAACCCCACGAGGCATGCGAAAAAACAGCCCTCTTTCTCTCTCTCACACACACACGGACGCGGCCAGGTAGACAGGCAAGTTGGCCAGGTGTGCAAGCCGTTTACACTCCGCTCCAGCGAACTCTGCTCCGCGTTTATCGCGCGCCGCGCCTCGCGTGATAAAGCGAGCGGGAAGTCGCAGAGAAGGAATTTCACGGCCGCCTCGGCAGCACAAGCAGCGCCTTTCATTGCGCGGCCAAAGCAACGCCCAGCCCCGTGCAATGTATCAGTCTGGGCGGCGGCGGCGGAGGAGGAGGAGGTCTCTTACTCACGCCCCGCGAGAACACGGCACCCACCACCCCCCCATTCCCTCCCGACTGTGTCCCCCGCTTGCCCAGAAATTTGCAAGCTCCTACAATACCCCCCAACAATTCCACCCACTAACCCCCAACACCCACCCCAGCCTCCCTCCCCACCGTGTCCCCGCCAACCCCCCCCCCCCCCCCCGTGTGCCAATTGCTGCGCTTTTTCATCCTTCGGCCCACCATCCTGCCCCCTTTAACACCGATCCTACATCCAAACCCTACACCGCCAATCTTACACCCTCCCCCCATACCCAATCCACTAATCCCCCCCCCCCAACCACACAATACTGCCCCCCACCCCCACCACCTCCCTGCCACCTTATCGCAATTACACGTTACTCAAACAAGGCTGAAGTTCACTCATCTCGTAATTGCAGACAGCAATCCGCACGCAATACACTTAGCTCACTCGGCGAGCGAGTTATATAAATAGACCTGGGCATTCTTCGCGGTTGTAAACAGTTGGCGTGTGATGCCGAGCGCCCCCACTGCGCTTGCGGTTTGTTTGTTTATTTAGCTCGGCGTGTGCGTGTGTGTGCCCGAGTGTGTGTGTCCGAGTGAGTGTGTGTGTGCTCGAGTGTGTGTGTCCGAGTGTGTGTGTGTGTGCCCGAGTGTGTGTACCCGAGTGTGTGCGTGAGTGTGTGCGTGTGTGTGCCCGAGTGTGTGTGTGTCCGAGTGTGTCCGAGTGTGTGTGTGCCCGAGTGTGTGTGTGCGAGTGTGTACGTGTGTGCCTGAGTGTGTGAGTGTGTGTCCGAGTGAGTGTGTGTGTGTGCCCGAGTGTGTGTGTGTCCGAGTGTGTCCGAGTGTGTGTGTGCCCGAGTGTGTGTGTGCGAGTGTGTGCGTGTGTGCCTGAGTGTGTGAGTGTGTGTCCGAGTGAGTGTGTGTGTGTGCCCGAGTGTGGTGGGGAGTGGGGGAAGTTTAGGGGTTAGCGCACTGCGCTACGAACCTGGTAACCCGAGTTCGAATCCCGCTCACGACTAACACCAGTGACGATTATCTGAACCTCTAGATCGACTCGGCCTCAACTGAGTACCTGGTGCGGTGTGTAAACATCGCCACGAGGGAGACAAAGGAAGCCGTGCATGGTGCTGGCCACCCACCCCCTCGTGTGCTGTACCGGCATGTATAGGTGCTCGCTAACAGTGCTTGTTCAAATTGCCTGAAAGAAAAATCTATAGGGGTAGTCGTCTTTATTACAGCTGTGTTCATGTATTGATGCAATGGGGTGCATATGTACGTGCGCTTGTGTGTCTTTGTCTAAGCGCACGTGTAAGCGTGTGTATGTCAACAGCTGTTCCCCTCGGCATTGTCTAGAAAAAAACATATAGGTTCCATCGCCGGTGCCGTAATATAATTTGGGTTGTACTTTGTGTGGGTAAGGTGCAATTATAAAAGGGTGGCCTCTGCTACAAAGCGAACGTTGCATTCTTCCGTGATATAATTCAAGATAAGTGTGCAAGTTCTGTGGGTGGATGAAGACCGCCACGAGTCCGAGTCATCATCCCTCGCGGTCCTGCGATGCGATGAGAAGGTCCCGGTCCATGGCCTCATTTCCACGTCATCTTTTAGCTCCGTCACTTTGGATACCGATGCTGATGATGATGACGTCGGTGATTATTATTATTATTATTATGGTTTCCATCGCTTGAAATTGCGAGATAGCGGCGGCTTGGCGAAGCATGACTGATCATGATTACTGTGACGATGACAATGGGGGGGGGGGGGAGCAAAAGTCGATTTGTGGATTATGTTTTTAAATATATATCATCCACATCCACGATTTAATTAATGCACATTCAATAACGCATAAACATCACCATTACTCTCACATGCTAAGAGCCGTAACATCAATTCCCTAAATAGATCGCGCCTTTAATGCATCATCTAATTTCCCTGTCGGGATTCGTGATGACTAAAACACAGCACGCGTTATATTAACGAGGGACGTCACGATTCGTCGATTGAATCCCATGATGACGGAGACGCCAACACGCACGGACTCGTAATCGAGCGATACAACACGGAGCTCGCTCTGCTTCGAGTCGCCGGGTGCCTTGGAGGCTGTGCGTGTGAAGGGCACCCGAGAAGGAGGGTTGGAGGGAGGGAGGGGGGGTTAGCGGTGGAATGGAGATGGCGTGCGTTGTGCGTGCGAAAGCGCTGGTATGGAAGGAACGTCTGTAATTCTGCCTCCGTCCAATGGTCTGTGAGACGAGAAGGAGGGGGGGGGATGGGATGGGAGGAGTCATCAAGGACCGCCCTTAGCCGGCTTGCCGCTCATGACATTGCACACGCGGAACGCACACACAGAGTCAGTCACGCACACACTCAAATGCACAGCGTTCAGACGTGCTCAATGGGATGTTCAGTGCTTTCACTCACTCACTCACGCACAGCCACGCACACAGAGAGACACGCGCGCGGCGAATTAATAATTACACAGCTCGCACATGATATATCGAAATCAATAATGGTTTTATTTTTCTGGTAATTACGGTCGGGTAGTTTTTATTTATTTATGTAAGCATTATATTGTGCAGTTCTGTGTATGCTCTCAGCGTGATGAGCTCTTTTTTGGGGGAGACCGGGCTGAGCGACGTTTCGGCGTGCGAGTCTATTTCTCGGATGAACGAGCGACTTCTGGATTTATCTTGTCACGTTTCGGCCCTTGGGAAGTTCACGGATGATTTCAATTCGCCGCTGAAGACCCTCTCGGATTGTACTTCACGCATCGTCACCACCGAGCGACTCCGGCTCCGGGGAGATCGTCTCGAAGCGCCGTGGCCTCAACGCCCACCGGATTAACTTGCAAATCGTTCAACCAATAAAACCAATCAACTCGGCAAAAATTCCGAACATCCATTCATTCGTTCGTTCGTCTCGCGACGCCGCCGAGTTTATTGGATGCGAACGCCGCCTCGCGTGGATCAAGCACGGGGAGGGGTGGTGGAGGGGGTGACCCAATTCCTTCGCTGGAAGTCTCCGCTGGAAGGTGAGACAAAGGCGCGCGCGCGCGAATGTGTGTTGTGGGTGGCATCCACGATCACGTACCCCCCTCACAGCCAACACGTGCGTGAGTTCTGACTTCACAACATCAGCACGTGCGTGCCAGGCATAGCGCACGTGGTGAGGGTTTGGAATATTTTTTGTTGAGAGACTCCAGAGAAACTGTGGACTTTAGGCGTGCAGCTGACGAGGCTCCTCGTGTGTGTTCTGTCACCATCGTGGGACGCGGTTTATATCCACTGCTGGAAGAAGGCCTCCAGACCCACGCCGTTGGGCATCCCTCGTTTCTCTACGGTGCCACCCGAAATCGATGTCATGTCGCTTGTGCACGTGAACTGGTCTCGTCTCTCCACCTCGCGTACATACATTTTTGCTCGTAATATAAGTGCACACATTGCAGCGTGGGGCTTCATACTGTACGTATCTCAAAATATAATGATGAAGTTTAGTTTCATATTGCATCCGATATGCAAACTACATCTCACAGTCGCTTACAGGGAACCACAGCCAAGTTGGAAGGCGGCAGCGTTACATAAATGACCGCTGTCATGATATCAGAAGAAATCGAGTAGGTTGATGTTTCGGACAATGTCCCTTCTGCAGAGCAGAGAAAATAAATATTCTCGTCGTTAATTGCAGCCTATTGTAGATGCCTCCTAGGTATGTCGGTGGCTATAATGAGTTCACTTTGGCTGAAAGCATTAAACAACGCAATGTCATTGATGAAGAATTCATTGAGTACATGAATACGTTAATATATGGGCAATGCATCGATTAAAATCGTTAAATTGATTAGATGGGCGATACAACGGATTATTAATGCATTACTTATCACTAAATACATTGATGAAATTAGCAATTGGTTCGCTGAGTAATTCCATGAGTAGTGTATCGATTAGATGAGTTTCTAAAGAGATGAGTAATTTAGCGGTTCTGTAATTGCATTCATGATCAATGCATTTATTAGATGGGTATGTCATGTATGAAGTGAATAGAATCGTCAGTGAATATATGAGTAACTAATTTAGCATATCGATTAATGCATAGAAGAGTGGTTGATTGCTTAGATGAATAATGCATGGATAGGTGAGACAATAATTCGATGACCAACGCATTGAGACTTTGAGTACACGGCCATGGCACTGCATACATGTCTAACAGCGGTGATTATGTCAGTGATGCATCATGTTAGTGATGCATAACTAGGTGAGCGCTGCGTTGACTCTTGGATCTCTGGAGTGAGCGATTGGCCGCGATGATGGGCGCTGTCCAGCGTGCGCGCCACACAGAGATGCGTGCGGCACGCGGGTGGTGGAGAGGGCCGTTAGAAATCCGCGGAAGCCGACGTCAGAGTGTTGGGCACATGAAGGATACATTGTACGAAAAGCCTGGGAGGGGTAGGGGGTGGGGGTGCAGTTGGTGCAGTGAGAGGCTTGCACGCTTCGCTACGAATCCGGCTACCCAAGCGTTCGATTCCTGGCCACGGCTCACATCGTGAACTGGACCTGGGTACCCATCCTGCTTTCCCCAACTTGCACTAACTAGCCTTGTGAAGTTTGGTTACACCCCCCAACCCCCGCCTCCCCCGTGACCGACATGGCGTATCGAAGCCTTCATCAATTGCTGTACTGCTGGGAAGGCAATTATTTTAATTAATGCGATGCATCACGCAATGAGTCTGCTATCCTGTATCAAAGGTGCTGAAGTGGGGAGGGAGTCGTCGTTTACTTTGGGTGTGTATAGGTCTGTGTATGCGCATATGTCCTTGCTAAAATACTCTTGTCCCTCTGCATAAACACACACACACTGGAGAGGCAGGTGCTGTTGCGAGAGAACATGTTGTGTGGGGTGTTCGCTCACAGTAATTCCTCCAAAAACAGTCTTTAAGGTGAACGGGGGTGGGGGGGGGGGGAATTTTGGTCTTTGTCCCGAATCACGAAGAGAGTACTCGTAATTCGAATTTGTGCATGTTTACCAATGATCAGGTGCGCGCACAGTGCAACAACTACATTTGTATTTGAGCTAAGACGTTTGGTAAACGTGGCGAGGCTGTGTTTTGTTCGCACACAAAGCTGCCTTCATACTTGAAGCGAAACGTCCAACAGGACCCGGTAGAAATCCGCGGAAGGCGATGCTCAGCCAAGGCACCCACTTCGCATGGCAGGCGGCTGAGGAGTTCGCATTCCTTATTCTCACATTCTCTTATTTTTTTTAGGAAGGTAGAGGTCGACCCCGGCGCTACACCGCGGGTCACTGCCCCGACGTTTGGGTCGAAATAATTAAGCGCATTTATTGGAGGGGAGCACAATGGAGGCTTTCTAAAGTCGGCTTACCAACAAGGGCAGAGCCCGAAAGGACAAGTTCGCCCGCCACCAAACCGAATGCCCTCGAGCGAATTGGGCCCTAATGTCTGGTTGATGAATATGCCCCCTAGTGCACTGCGGCATCTGTGGGTTTTGTGAGTCTAGCCGACGAATAAAAAGGATCCGCGGTACAATCATTATTGCATGTCCTCTCCATCATCATCATCATCAGTGGCAGCTATGATCAATCTACTGCTGGATGAAATCCTCCACCCAAGTTGCAGCGGCCACCTCTCACGACCCTGCGATGTAACAATCTGGCCAGAACTTCCTTGCACGCGAACTGATCTCATCGCTGCCATCTCCTCCCTCTGATCCGTGGTCATCGTCTCGGACGCGTTCCATTCCTTGGCTGCCGTTCCGTTACAATTCGTGACCGCCGGCCACCCTCGTGTGTGCGGTGACGTAGCAGCAGCACTGAGCGATGTCGAACGTACTTTCTGCGCGTGCATCCCAGGGCTTCCGTGCAACAGAGACTTTCGTCGCAAAGGGCTCTAACCTGTTTGTATATTTCGTGTACTTTTGCGAGGCAGCCTTTGCATTGTAGCAGCATCGCAACGCAGCGAATGATGGCGACGACTTATTGGTGAAGACCTTCATCAAGCAGTGGATTTGATCATAATGATGATGATCATGAACTTAGTCTTTCACGTTGTGGAGGGAGTGAAATTATGAATCATCAAAGTAAAAATAAAAAAGTCAAACTTAATCGTCATTCATCTTCTTAGTTCTTTCGGTAAAGTCACGCGTCTTCAGACGCTGTCTCATCGACAGACCTGTTCTTCACCTGAGGACGGCTGCTTGCGTTGTGGCCGAAACGTCGTGAGAATTATTTTATTATGTTTAATTTTTATTATTTCCATTCTACGTGACTTCACCGAAAGAACCAAGAAGATGAATCCCTGCAGTCACGAAAGCTTTAAATCGAAATTGAAATCGTCATTCTCTAATTTGGCCAAATAATCTGGGAGCAACCCATCCTCTCCCACGCCCGTGGCGTGCACAGGGCGGGCTGCAATCGCCTTGTTTGCCTGACTCACGGTCCCCGCTCAACCAGCATTATCAGGGTTGGCAAGCTCTGCCTTTTACTGCTCGCTTGTCATCAAGATACGCGAGCGGCAGTGATATTGTGCTCTCGTAGGTTCGATCCCGACCCTGACGCCTGCTGTATATTTTGAGTTTGCGTGCGTCTCTTTTCTCCCCCTGGTTGTGTGGATTTTTCTCCGGGTCATCCGGTTTCTCCCCCCCCCCACACACACATTGAAAAACGTGCATTTGGTGTGTTTGGCTCCAATATATTTCCACGTGATAAGCCACTTCGTTGAGCTTTCATTTGTGACCAGGTCGCTTCTGAAAAGGAGCGGAATAGCTCAGTGGGTCTTGCATGGTCAAAAAAAAAAATATTGTTGAGGTAGTTTAATACCTCAAGCAGTGTGTTCTACCGAACGTCACTTTTCTGAAGAATCAACATGATGTCAACTGCGTTAAGTTTGGTCTCTGAACCACGTGTTCCTCCTTTTTGGTGTCCTGGGTCACTCTTGCAAATGAGAATATAACAGAAGAAACGCGTCTAGCAGAATAATCCCAAGCGTTTACCTCTCCCTTCGCATTTGAAAACTGCCAGCCTTTGTCCCGTTGTCTCTGTCAGTGGCGATGATTCTGATCTACGTGAAATCGTGGTCAGTAATGTACTGATTGAAAATTATATTCTTGTTCTTCTTCAAGGCAGAGTGTTATTTTCATCACCATGGGTAACACAATCTACAATCAAAATATATATCTCGGTTTACCAGATTGTTTTGATAACGTTCATCTGGAAGGTTTTTAGATTGATCGCACCAACGTTATTTTACTTTCATTCAAAAATCCAGATAAATGCAGATTGGGGTCCATTTATTTGTTCATGTTATGTCTTATGCTTGCTCTGTTTTTAAATAGATGAGAACCAGCGTGGTGAAGTATGCCCGATTAACCCCCACAACGTGCAAGTTTCATGGAAGAGTGTCAAACCATGGCAAAGACGCTCACGGGTGGATTGGGCCAAACATCCCAACGCTAAACAGGATCCCCCCCCCCCCCCATCTCCAAGATGGAGCGCTCATTCCACTAACATCTGACAATCGGGCATCAACCGCTTAACAGGCGGATTTCTGCGCTCTGCAGATGACACCCAGAAAGGTGAACACGAGTCGGGAGTATTCCTGTAGTTGTACCGATGGCTCACGCGGGCTTCGTCGCACCGATGCCATTCTCCGATTCAAACACTGAAGCATCCATTCATTCGTAGTCGCTGTACACGCAGACGTCCGTAGCAATGTTCCTGCGTTCATGTGGGCATGTGCCATATCTGTGGGTTTATTATCCGCGCGACTCTGCCAGCGAGTGCCACAATGAGCCAGGGTTCAGAGCTCGGGATGATGTCATGCGGCAGGTTCTGTGCTCCTACAGCCAAGACAAACAATTAAGAAGATCCCCCTGAACCCTTTAACAGGATCTTGGGGCAATTGCTGTTGGTGAGCACCTGTGAAGGCCGGAACGGCACACGACGGAGTGGGTGGCCAGCACCACGCCCGGCCACCTTTGTATTCATAGTTGCAATGTTCACGTATCGCACCAGGTATTC